GGTGGAGAGTAGGAGGAGGAGGAGGAGGAGGAGGGGGGGGGGGGGGGGGGGGGGGGGGGGGGGAGGAGGGGGAGGCGGAGGAGAAGGAGGGGGAGGAGGAGGGGGAGGAGGAGGAGGAGGAGGAGGAGAAAACAAGAGTGTTAAGAGAGAGTTCAAAGGAATTTAATGTACAATACAATATTTTTGAAGTATGCACTTAAGCCTACATAAATATTACACTATGACCAGGGTAATGTGCACATCTGAACCAGCACATGGTTTTACTCTGAGCTGCACAGTAGCCTGTAGCCATGACAAAATTAAGCTGAATTTAAACAATGGAGTGGCCATGATTCTCCTTGCTCAATTGGAAGGGTAAACGTTGAGAAAACAAACTAGCGTTGGTGTTGTGTGTGAGCACACGCTTCAATGCATCTGGGGCTGACAAAGGGTCTGGGGGAATCTAATACTAGGAAAGGGTCGCCCTGAGTGTTGAACAGACTTGACACAAAAACCACGACAGAAGTGCAATGAAAGAGAACAACTGTGGTGTAGTCCACCAGGTGCCCAACCTTCAACCACTACCTCCACCACCCTCTCTCCACCTCTCCGACCCTTCAACCACTACCTCCACCTCCCTCTCTCCACCTCTCCCAACCCAAACCACTGTCCCCTGAGACCACTGTCCCCTGAGACCACTGTCCCTTGAGACCACTGTCTCCTGAGACCACTGTCCCCTGAGACAACTGTCCACATCATTCAAATGGAAACTCAGGATTGACTGGGTCATTTTAATACTGGCTGATAATTACTCTTGTGGCCTATGCTGTTTATGTACATAAAGAGCTGAGCATGATCTCTGCAGATCTTTTGGGTTATTATTGTATTATAAGCATCGTTATAAGATATCATAAAGCCTCATACATGCTTATAACAGGTAATAAGCCCTTATACCTGCAGGCTGTCAGTAAAGTGTTATTCCCACAGGGTTTTCTCATGTCCTTCAGTGAATAAATGTCCAGCAGTTGCCCTATGGGAGAGGGCACCAGATCCACAGCTAAACCTTATTGCCGTTTTTTTTTTATTTTTTTTTGTTTACCTTTAATTAACTAGGCATGTCAGTTTAGAACAAATGATTTACAATGACAGCCTACATTATCATCGCCCTACACTCCTGCAGAGACTCATACAGTGGCCCAACATTTCAATGTCAGATGCATAGAGGGGGAGGTTGGGGCATAAGGATTTATAATACAATGCTTCCTCATTCATTTGACTGAACCCTGATGGAATATATGTATGTTTCCATGCCATTGGAGTTGACTGTGATGAGGTAAAAGGTAGCCTAGGGTTATTATTATATCTAGGTTACAGTAAAACAAGTATGTGGGTGTGAGTGACTGTGAGGAATTTGATCATTTCAATCTCAGTTAGAGGCAGATTACAGATTACAGATTTACCTGGCTGGTTGGGATTATATTCTGTCTGAACATGAATAATAATCAGTCCGATGGGACATTTCTTCCCACAGAGTAAGATAGGAAGGGAGCCAGCTTCGTGCATTCCCCTGTAATAACATGTGGATCCAAATATGTGCCTAGCCTATTTCTTAAAAGCCATAAATGTCTTGAGTTCTATTTCCGTTTTAGAATGTCATAACTAAGTTGCCCTTAACCAGATAGGATGTTTGATGCAGAAGATATATTTAGAGCCTGAACACAGTCAAATAGACTGCCTATGTTTGCAACAGACTAAATTATAACGAATAGAGTAGCCTAAACCTTTTATACTGGAGATGTTCTTTCCACAATCAATCAATAAATTGTTAATTCACGTGATTGAATAAGAGACAAATTACCCACCATGTACTTCCGGAGTGGTGGTGAGAAGAATTCCAGCCAAAGCGGCTACGAGGATCCATTGGAAAGCCATAGTCACCGCATACAAGGCAGTCAATCCAATTGGGCAGAATTTAAATGCAGTATCTTTCTAGTTCAAAACTCACCGATGCCCAGATAGCATTATTGGTTTCCCGATGTTTCAGATAAAGGACAACACTGGGAAAAGTTAGCGCAGAATGTTTGACTGGGCTGGAGAATAGTTCAGAAGTTACGCGTGAAGATAGCAGGTAGGAAGGGGAACCCCCTCTCTCTCTCGCTCTCTCACTCACTCTGAAAAACGCTGCAGGTCTGGACTCCAGCGCGAAGGAATGCAGTCCCAACTGTTCGTGGTCGGCGAAACTTCAAGACAAAAAAAGCAGGTGTCACCGAGCGTAGATTTAAATGCTGTACAGCATGACAAAATATGAAAATCCGTTTCCAAATCGTATAATTATAGACTAAAATCCGCTCGCTCACTTGCCATGGGCGCGCTGTGCAAGAACTGAGGCGACGCTATAAAGTGTCCTGCTATGCAGCGTTTCTTCTCTCTCGCTCCAAGTACACTCCAACCCGTAGGACGTCCCCCGCACTCCTCCGGGACGATTGAATGCAGTCTAGGGAATAGAAACGTATGATGTGCGGTCTGCTCACGATGAATAAAAGATAGGGCAATTCTATGCAACAACAGCTATTTTACATCTTTCTCATTCCTCTAATCATGCTTGAACGGGCCCAATATGTTACCAGATTGTTATGCGTTCTGGGGCCAATATGCTACCAGATTGTTATGAGTTCCGTTTGAAGGGGCCCAATATGCTACTATATTGTTATGCGTTGAACGGGCCCAATAATCTACCAGATTGTTATGCGTTCCGTTTGAACGGGTCCAATAATCTACCAGATTGTTATGCGTTCCGTTTGAACGGGCCCAACAATATGCTACCAGATTTTATGCGTTCCGTTTGAACGGTCCCAATAATCTACCAGATTGTTATGCGTTCCATTTGAACGAGCCCATTATGGTACCAGAATGTTATGCGTTCTGTTTGAACGGGACCAATATGCTACCAGAATGTTATGCGTTCCGTTTCAACGGCCCAATATGCTACCAGATTGTTATGCGTTGAATGGTCCCAATAATCTACCAGATTATAATGAGTTCCGTTTGAACGGGACCAATATGCTACCAGATTGTTATGCGTTGAATGGTCCCAATAATCTACCAGATTGTTATGCGTTCCATTTGAACGGGGCCAATATGCTACCAGATTATGCGTTCCGTTTCAACGGCCCAATATGCTACCAGATTGTTATGCGTTCTGTTTGAATGGCCCAATATGCTACCAGGTTGTTATGTGTTCCGTTTGAACGGGACCAATATGCTTCCAGATTGTTATCCGTTCCGTTTGAACGGTCCCAATAATCTACCAGATTGTTATGCGTTCCGTTTGAACGGGACCAATATGCTACCAGATTGTTCTGCGTACTGTTTGAACGGGACCAATATGCTACCAGATTGTTATGCGTTCCGTTTGAACGGGACCAATATGCTACCAGATTGTTATGCGTTCCGTTTGAACGGTCCCAATAATCTACCAGATTGTTATCCATTCCGTTTGAACGGGACCAATATTCTACCAGATTGTTATGCGTTCCGTTTGAACGGGACCAATATGCTACCAGATTGTTATGTGTTCCGTTTGAACGGGCCCAATATGCTACCAGATTGTTATGTGTTCCGTTTGAACGGGACCAATATGCTACCAGATTGTTATGCGTTCTGTTTGAATGGGCCCAATATGCTACCAGATTGTTATGCGTTCCGTTTGAACGGGACCAATATGCTACCAGATTGTTCTGCGTTCCGTTTGAACGGGACCAATATGCTACCAGATTGTTATGCGTTCCGTTTGAACGGGACCAATATGCTACCAGATTGTTATGTGTTCTGTTTGAACGGGCCCAATATTCTACCAGATTGTTATGCGTTCCGTTTGAACGGGCCCAATATGCTACCAGATTGTTATGCGTTCCGTTTGAACGGGACCAATATGCTACCAGATTGTTATGCGTTCCGTTTGAACGGGACCAATATGCTACCAGGTTGTTATGCGTTCCGTTTGAACGAGTGGGAGACATCAACACTCCTACTTTGTAGAAGCTATTGTATATTATAGTGCTATAAAACAATCCATTATTGCTGGCCTATAAACATACTCAAATCTGGATGAAAGAACAATTACATACACGTTCCATTCAGTGAGCGTGTTCTAAGAAAAGCTGACATTCCTCTGGGTCACGTAGGAGCAACCTGATCTTTGTCCCCGGCAGAGAAAAGAGATGAGAAAGACTCTTGGCCTTTAGAAAACAACAGTTGCCGCTGCTGCCCCATGCATGCGTGAATTCCTCAGCTTTCCCTCCAAGTGAAGTTGGCTATGTGCTACGGAAAAACAAAATGCCGATAACGTAGCACTTTAGATTGGGATAGCCTACTATCCAAATATAATCGCCCTAAAAAGTTATATATTGTTTACAAAATGGTCATTGTGAATCCCTGACGTTGGCACCAGTTTATTTATCCCCCTGTTTATTTACATGTTTATTCCCAATGTTCTGGTAAAATGTGGCTCCATAATCTACAGTATTAAGCAGGTTGAGGCTGTACCACCAACTACAGAAAATATTGATTAGTCTTTGACCTGTCCATAATATACACACGTCTGAGTGGTGACATCCAGACAGACAGCGGATGTTTAATTCAACCTCTAACTCCTGGGAATGCAATAAGAATTGTTGTACATGTTGATACTGCCATCTAGTGTTGCAGAGTGGAATAGTCGGTGTACCATTAGATCATTCCTTGGCCTATACCGGCCTACTCAATATTATTTTCTATTTAATAGCGGTTACATATACCTTTTAGTTATTCAGCTCTTATCCAGTAGCCTCGACCGATCATCCTTTTCTCGCGAGATCACATTCCATTTCTCTACACACGGTCAGTTGGTTTCAACAGGAAACTTATTCAGAGCGTCTAAGACAATTGTAAATATGCAATGTCCACAAGGCAGTCGGTAAATCCACAATATCTTCATACTTTATTCAATACATTATACACAATACATAAAATCACAAGATCCATCAAGCGTCCTTTTTCACTGTCACTTTCTGTACGAGTTCTTCACTCTTAAAGAGCAGGGCTTCACTCGTCTGACAGCTGACGATCGCTCGCTCTATGAAATGACCTGTGGAGGCAAGGGTAGAGGGGGGGAAGAGGGGAGGGGGGGGGAGAGGGGAGGGGGGAAGAGGGGAGGGGGGAGGGGGGGAGGGGAGGGGGGTAAGGGTGGGAAGAGGGGAGGGGGGGAGAGGGGGGTATGAGGGGGGGAAAGAGGGGAGGGGGGGATAGAGGGGGGAAGGGGTAGGGGTGGAGGGGGGGAAGAGGGGGGTAGGGGGGAAGAGGGGAGGGGGAAGAGGGGAGGGGAGGGGTAGAGGGGGAAAGAGGGGAGGGGGGGAAGAGGGGAGGGGGGGAAGAGGGGAGGGGGTTAGAGGGGGGGAAGGGAAGAGGGCGGGGGGGAGGGGGGAGGGGTAGGGGGGGAAGAGGGGAGGGGTGGAAGAGGGGAGGGGGGTTAGAGGGGAGGGTTTAGAGGGGGAAGAGGGGAGGGGAAGAGGGGAGGGTGAGAGGGGGTGAGGGAGGGTGGGTGGTAGAGGGGAGGGGTAGAGGGGGGGAAGAGGGGAGGGGTGTCAGAGACATTGAAACAGGGTCTAGTCTAGTAGTAGTGCTGCCGGCGGTGGGGGTTCAATCCCTGTTTAGGCCCCTACGCCTTACTGCCCTTTCTTTCACATTCATCAGAAAACACTGAAGTACAGAATTCCCTCTGGATAGACATTAAGACTGGTGTGGTATAATGCTGGGTTTTAAAGACACACCTGAACAGAGTTGCTGAGACACAACACGTCTGATGCAATTTGACAAAGCTACTGTTTTCTTTTCAGACCTGTTGTCAAGAAGATTTCCACTACATTCTAGAATACTCTCCCTGAGGCTATTTGTGTTCCTCCCTGTCTCTCTCTCTGCCTGCCTCTCTCCCTGCATGCCTCTCTGCCTGCTTCCCTCTCTCTCTGCCTCTCTCCCTGCCTGCCTGCCTCTCTCCCTGCCTGCCTCTCTCCCTGCCTGCCTGCCTCCCTCTCTCCCTGCCTGCCTCCCTCCCTCTCTCCCTGCCTGCCTCCCTCCCTCCCTCTCTGCCTGCCTGCCTCCCTCTCTCCCTGCCTGCCTCTCTGCCTGCTTCCCTCTCTCCCTGCCTGCCTGCCTCTCTCCCTGCCTGCCTGCCTGCCTCTCTCTCTGCCTGCCCCCCTCTCCCTGCCTGCCTCCCTCTCCCTCCCTGCCTGCCTGCCTGCCTCTCTCTCTCCCTGCCTGCCCCTCTATCTCCCTGCCTGCCCCTCTCACCTGCCTGCCTCCCTCTCTCTCTCTCCCTGCCTGCCTCTCTCCCTCCCTGCCTCCCTCTGCCTGCCTCCCTCTCTCCCTCCCTGCCTCTGTCTCTTTTCAAGCGGTTTAATGTGTACTTTCTGCAGCTCTAGAAACCTAAAGCTAAATAGAACTAACCTAAAAGTAAAATACATCGAAAGGATCAGTACATTCTTGAATAAAAAGGGTTTTGAATGATAACCCAACTAATAATACAAAATAAAAATGTGGATCATCTGATTGTTACATTGTCTCTGTCATAACTTTCATGTACAGGGCATTCAGAAAGTCTTCAGACCCCTTGACCTTTTCCACTTTGTTACGTTACAGCCTTATTCTAAAATAGATTAAATTGTTTTTTCCCCTCATCAATCTACACACGATACCCCATAATGACAAAGCAAAAACAGGTTCTTAGATTCTTTGTGCAAAAATAAAATAAATACTGAAATAGCACATTGACATAAGTATTTAGACCCTTTCCTCAGTACTTTGTTGAAGCACCTTTGGCAGCGATTACAGCCTCAAGTCTTCTTGGGTATGATGATACAAGCGTGGCACACCTGTATTTGGGGAGTTTCTCCCATTCTTCTCTGCAGATCCTCTCAAGCTCTGTCAGGTTGGATGGGGAGCGTTGCTGCACAGCTATTTTCAGGTCTCTCAAGAGATGTTCGATAGGTTTCAAGTCCGGGCTCTGGCAGGACCACTCAAGGACCGAAGGGATGGTGTCAGGTTTCCTCCAGACGTGACGCTTGGCATTCAGGCTAAAGCAGGGGTGTCAAACGTACGGCCCGCGGGCCGGATCAGGCCCGTAAACGGGTTTAATCCGGCCCGCGAGATGATTTTGGGGAAAAAAAAAAAAAAAAAAAAACTTTTTTTTTTGGTAAAGTATAAAAATGCGCTGCAATTTTTCAATAAAATAAACTGCTGTTCCAATTGCGTCCACTGGATGGCGCAATAGCAATTGTGTTAAGCAAGCAAACTGTTTATACCGGGGCAGAGCAAATAGGTCAAGCACGTGCAGCCAATGAGCTACAGTTGCAGACAGGATTTCCGATCTTTCAGTGGATTTGGACAGCCAGTTGAAGCAAAAAGTAAAGTCATTTATTGCGTTTTCGGTTGCAATTGATGAAAGCACGGACATTTCAGATGTTGCACAACTGGCCATTTTCATCCGCGGAGTTGATGACACATTGACCGTCACCGAGGAGTTCGTGGAGTTGGTGCCGATGACAGATACAACGACAGCAGCTGATATTTTTACCGCACTCGTCGGCGCGCTGGACAGGGTCGGAGTGGACTGGTCCCGCGCTGTCAGCCTGGCTACAGATGGTGCGCCCTCAATGATCGGGAAAAAAAAAAGCAGGCGTTGTGACAAAGTTCAGAGAGAAAGTGCAATCTGCAAATGGAGGACGTGATTTTTTGACTTTTCACTGTATTTTGCACCAGGAGGCTTTGTGTTGCAAGTCATTAAAGATGGATAACGTCATGAAGGTGGTCATCCAAACTGTTAATTTCATCCGATCCAGAAGCCTGAATCACCGTCAGTTTGACAGCCTTCTCAGAGAGAAAGACCACATCTATGGCCTGCCATACCACACTGAGGTAAGATGGTTAAGCCGAGGTGCTGTGCTGAGGCGTTTCTTTGATTTACGAGAAGAAATTGAACAGTTCATGGAAGAAAAGGGCAAACCAGTGTTAGAATTTCATTCCGCAGAATGGATGCAGGACCTTGCATTTATGGTGGATGTTACAGAGCACCTGAATAACTTGAACAAACAGCTGCAAGGGCGCAACAAAGTTGTCACGCAGTATTATGACAGCATAAGTTCTTTCAAGTTGAAGCTGTCATTGTGGGAGACGCAACTTGCCGGTGGTGATACAGCTCACTTCCCCTGTCTGAAAAATGTGTGCGCGACCCAACATGTGGCAGACATGAAGCGGTTCAAAGATAAAATAACGGGACTGTTACGGGAGTTTGAGCAACGCTTTCAGATTTATGTTTATGTTTTTATGTTGATGTGCTATTGTTTTTAATTGATTTTATTTGTATATTTAACCTATTCTTGACTCTGTTGTTCTTGCACTTGTTTGGGGAACAGGATTTCATTATTTTTATCTACATTTCTGCCTGAGAAATGACACCCTGATATAGTTCTGTGATCTGTGATATACTTCTGTGAATCACTGAGGCATTGTGTGTTTGTGTGTTCTTTGTCCTCAGAACTTTCAAATAACTTGAGGTGTTCTATGATTAATAGTGATGTTGTGCTTTTGGACACTGTCCTCAGGCTCCAGCTTTATGTTTATATGTTTTTATGTTGATGTGCTATTGTTTTTAATTGATTTTATTTTATTTGTATATTTAACCTATTCTTGACTCTGTGGTTCTTGCACTTGTTTGGGGAACAGGATTTCATTATTTTTATCTACATTTCTGCCTGAGAAATGACACCCTGATATAGTTCTGTGATCTGTGAAACAGTTCTGTTAATCACTGAGGCATTGTGTTTTGTGTGTTCTTTTTCTTTAGAATTTTTCAAATAAACTTGACGTGTTTTATGATTAATAGTGATGTTGTGCTTGTACTATTTTGGACACACTGTCCTCAGGCTCCAGCTTTATGTTGATCGTATTAAAACAAAGAAAACAATCTGAAGTTGTTGTTTTTAAGTTATACAGTCATGGCCAAAATTGTTGGCACCCCTGAAATTTTTCCAGAAAATGAAGTATTTCTCACAGAAAAGTATTGAAATTACACATGTTTTGCTATGCACATGTTTATTTCCTTTGGTGTATTGGAATAACACAAAAAAAAACAGGAAAAAAGCAAATTTGACATAGTTTCACACAAAACTAAAAAAATGGGCCGGACAAAGTTATTGGCACCCTTTCAAAATTGTGGATAAATAAGTTTGTTCCAAGCATGTGATGCTCCTTTAAACTCACCTGGGGCAAGTAACAGGTGTGGGCAATCTAAAAATCACACCTGAAAGCAGATAAAAAGGAGAGAAGTTGACTCAGTCTTTGCATTGTGTTTCTGTGTGTGCCACACTAAGCATGGAGAACAGAAAGAGGAAAAGAGAACTGTGAGGACTTGAGAACCAAAAATTGTGGAAAAATATCAACAATCTCAAGGTTACAAGTCCATCTCCAGAGATCTAGATGTTCCTTTGTCCACAGTGCGCAACATGATCAAGAAGTTTGCAACCCATGGCACTGTAGCTAATCTCCCTGGACGTGGACGGAAGAGAAAAATTGATGAAAGGTTGCAACGCAGGATAGTCCGGATGGTGGATAAGCAGCCCCAAACAAGTTCCAAAGAAATTCAAGCTGTCCTGCAGGCTCAGGGTGCATCAGTGTCAGCGCGAACTATACGTCGAAATTTGAATGAAATGAAACGCTATGGCAGGAGACCCAGGAGGACCCCACTGCTGACACAGAGACATAAAAAAGCAAGACTACAGTTTGCCAAAATGTACATGAGTAAGCCAAATTCCTTCTGGGAGAACGTCTTATGGACAGATGAGACCAAGATAGAGCTTTTTGGTAAAGCACATCGTTCTACTGTTTACCGAAAATGTAATGAAGCCTTCAAAGAAAAGAACACAGTACCTACAGTCAAATATGGTGGAGGTTCAAAGATGTTTTGGGGTTGTTTTGCTGCCTCTGGCACTGGGTGCCTTGACTGTGTGCAAGGCATCATGAAATCTGAGGATTACCAAAGGATTTTGGGTCGCAATGTAGGGCCCAGTGTCAGAAAGCTGGGTTTGCGTCCGAGATCATGGGTCTTCCAGCAGGACAATGACCCCAAACATACTTCAAAAAGCACCCAGAAATGGATGGCAACAAAGCGCTGGAGAGTTCTGAAGTGGCCAGCAATGAGTCCAGATCTTAATCCCATTGAACACCTGTGGAGAGATCTTAAAATTACTGTTGGGAAAAGGCACCCATCCAATATGAGAGACCTGGAGCAGTTTGCAAAAGAAGAGTGGTCCAAAATTCCGGGGGTGAGAGGTGTAAGAAGCTTATTGATGGTTATAGGAAGCGACTGATTTCAGTTATTTTTTCCAAAGGGTGTGCAACTAATATTAAGTTAAGGGTGCCAATCATTTTGTCCGGCCCCATTTTTGAGTTTTTGTGTGAAATTATGTCAAATTTGCTTTTTTCCTGTTTTTTTTTTGTGTTATTCCAATACACACAAAGGAAATAAAACATGTGCATAGCAAAACATGTGTAATTTCAATACTTTTCTGTGAGAAATACTTCATTTTCTGGAAAAATTTCAGGGGTGCCAACAATTTTGGCCATGACTGTATATACCATGATTTTTCCGGTCTGGCCCACTTGGGAATAGATTTTCCTCCATGTGGCCCCTGAGCTAAAATGAGTTTGACACCCCTGGGCTAAAGAGTTCAATCTTGTTTCTCATGGTCTGAGAGTCCTTTAGGTGCCTTTTGGCAAACTTCAAGCAGGCTGTCATGTGCCTTTTACTGAGGAGTGGCTTCCGTCTGGCCACTCTACCATAAAGGCCTGATTGGTGGAGTGCTGCAGAGATGGTTGTCCTTCGGGAAGGTTCTCCCATCTCCACAGAGGAACTCTGGAGCTCTGTCAGAGTGACCATTGGGTTCTTGGTCACCTCCCTGACCAAGGCCCTTCACCCCGATTGCTCAGTTTGGCTGGGTGGCCAGCTCTAGGAAGAGTCTTGGTGGTTCCAAACTTCTTCCATTTAAGAATGATGGAGGCCACTGTGTTCTTGGGGACCTTCAATGCTGCTGAAATGTTTTGGTACCCTTCCCCAGATCTGTGCCTCGACACAATCCTGTCTCGGAGCTCAACGGACATTTCCTTTGACCTGTTGCTTGGTTTTTTGCTCTGACATGCACTGTCAACTGTGGGACCTTATTTAAACAGGTGTGTACCTTTCCAAAATCATGTCCAAATCAATTGAATTTACCACAGGTGGCCTCCAATCAAGTTGTAGAAACATCTCAAGGATGATCAGTGGAAACAGGATGCACCTGAACTCAATTTCGAGTCTCATAGCAAAGGGTCTGAATACTTCCTTAAATAAGGTATTTCTGTTTTTCAATTTTAATACATTTCCCAAAAAAATCGCTTTGTCATTATGGGGTATTGTATGTAGATCGATGAGGAATTGTTTATTGAATCAATTTTAGAATAAGGCTATAACGTAAACAAAAATGTGGAAAAAGTCAAGGGGTCTGAATACTTTCCGAACGCACTGTATGAGTTCTGGCCTTGTGCTATAGCTCCTTCAGTGTAGTTATCCTTTGGGCACAGAATTAAAGAGAACATCACTTCACACACTATTTTCCCCAGGTGGGTTGGATATATCTAGTGTACTAAGAGTCTTCAAACGACCACCAGTATAACAAAGGTGGGTAACAAATGTCAGTCAGAGCAGGAGTCAATAATCATCCTCCCACTTCGCCCAGCCCAGTCCCTTCAGCACCAACTCTTATCTAGGTTCTCATTATGACACACAACACCTCAGTCAGGAAACATTATAATAATAATACACACAAATCCCTATTGGTTTGGTTGAGTTTGTAGGCAAAAAAATCACACACCTATCTAGCACACAATATTGTATTGGAAGGCTTTGTATTAAAAGTCCACACACCCACATACAGTGCCGTGGGATGTGTAGTTCAATAACTATAATGTGGAATCATGGTGTGGAATGTGTAGTTCAATAACTATAATGTGGAATCATGGTGTGGAATGTGTAGTTCAATAACTATAATGTGGAATCATGGTGTGGAATGTGTAGTTCAATAACTATAATGTGGAATCATGGTGTGGAATGTGTAGTTGAATAACTATAATGTGGAATCATGGTGTGGAATGTGTAGTTTATTAACTATAATGACAAATCATGGACCGTATGATAGCATGTAGCACTGCCTTGAAGTCTCACTGCCAAATAAGTCCCAGAGAGCCTTGGAGCAGTCATGTTGTCAAGGAGGGTGGGTATATCCAGGTATGTATAGTTGTACTCATATGACTGAGGCTACTCTTTACGTACTTTAACCCTCTAAATCCCAATGTGATATACATGTCATATACACTGATTGTACAACACATTAAGAATACCTTCCTAATATTGAGTTGCACCCCCCTTTTGCCCTCAGAACAGCCTCAATTTGTCAGGGCATGGCCTCTACAAGGTGTCGAAAGCGTTCCACAGGGATGCTGGCCAATGCTGACTCCAATGTTTCCCACGGTTGTGTCAAGTTGACTGGATGTCCTTTGGGTGGTGAATCATTCTTGATACACACCGGAAACTGCTGAGTGTGAAAAACCCAGCAGCGTTGCAGTTCTTGACACACTCAAACCGGTGCGCCTGGCACCTACTACCATAACCTGTTCAAAGGCACTTAAATCTTTTGTCTTGCCCATTCACCCTCTGAACGGCACACATACACAATCCATGTCTCAATTGTCTCAAGGCTTAAAACTCATTCTTTAACCTGTCTCCTCCCCTTCATCTACACTGATTGAAGTGGATTTAACAAGTGACATCAATTAGGGATCATAGCTTTCACCTGATCAGTCTGTCATGGAAAGAGCAGTTGTTCCTAATGTGTACACAGTGTATGTCATTTACTTTAAAAACCTGGTATTTGTCAAATAATATTCATTCATCATCATGGTACGTACCTAAGCTAGCGGGCCGGTGGGAACAGACATCTTCAACAACAGTCTGTATGTTGGCTATGAGCTGCTGCTTGGGCATGTCCAGCTGTGGGGAGGACAACAAAGTTGAGCACAGTATCAGACATAATACATTGAATACATTAAAATGTACAGTGCATTCGGAAAGTACTCAGACCCCTTGACTTTTTCCACGTTGTTACGTTACAGCCTTATTCTAAAATGAATTAAATAAAACATTTTCCTCATCAATCTACACACAACACCCCATAAGGACAAAAAAAACAACAGAAATACCTTATTTACATAAGTATTCAGACCCTTTGCTATGAGACTCGAAATTGAGCTCAGGTGCATCCTGTTTCCATTGATCATCCTTGAGATGTTTCTACAACTTGATTGGAGTCCACCTGTGGTAAATTCAATTGATTGGACATGATTTGGAAAGGCACACACCTGTCTATATAAGGTCCCACAGTTGACAGTGCATGTCAGAGAAAAAACCAAGCCATGAGGTCGAAGGAATTGTACGTAGAGCTCCGAGACAGGATTGTGTCGAGGCACAGATCTGGGGGAAGGGTACCAAAACATTTCTGCAGCATTGAAGGTCCCCAAGAACACAGTGACCTCCATCATTCTTAAATGGAAGAAGTTTGGAACCACCAAGACTCTTCCTAGAACTGGCTGCCCAACCACACTGAGCAATCGGGGGAGACGGGCCTTGGTCAGGGAGGTGACCAAGAACCCGATGGTCACTCTGACAGAGCTCCAGAGTTCCTCTGTGGAAATGGGAGAACCTTCCAGAAGGACAACCATCCATGCAGCACTCCACCAATCAGGCCTTTATGGTAGAGTAGCCAGACGGAAGCCACTCCTCAGTAAAAGGAACATGACAGCCCTCTTGGAGTTTGCCAAAAGGCACCTAAAGGACTCTCAGACCATGAGAAACAAGATTCTCTGGTCTGATGAAACCAAGATTGAACTCTTTGGCCTGAATGCCAAGCGTCATGGAAACAGGATGCACCTCAGCTCATTTTCGAGTCTCATAGCAAAGGGTCTGAATACCTATGTAAATAAGATATGTTTTTTATTTGTAATACATTTGCAAACATTTCTAAAAACCTGTTTTCGCTTTGTCATTATGGGGTATTGTGTGTACATTGATTAGAGGGAAAAAAACATTTTAATCAATTTTAGAATAAGGCTGTAACGTAACAAAATGTGGAAAAACGTCAAGGGGTCTGAATACTTTGAAGGCACTGTACATATTATTCCCAGATCAGTGTAGTGTATGTTTGGTCTCCCCCCTCTCGTTCTATTGATTTCAACATGATATCGATATGAGTGATTGACAAATAAGTATTGCGTTTCTCTTTCCATTTTGGCGACCACCAAATCAAAATGCATCACTCCAAAATGTAACTGACTGTCTTCAGCAGGTTGTCCTCTAACCAGTGATGTAAACAATATTTCCAGTTTATGTTTTCAATATATCACAAACTATTTCTGACATATAAATTATTGATTTGGACACTTCAAAATGTTGTTTTAACATTGGTCTACTTATCAAAAGTTATTGTCAACAGGAAGCAGGGACAGCTTCATTTTCAACTTATGTTTTATGAATATAAATGGGACTTTCAACATTAATTGCCAATAGTATTCTAGTTAAATCAGGTAAAAACTGCTGAATTAGTCCTGAAACGTGCTGTGATTTATTTTGATGATATACAAGAAATCATCTAAACAGGTTTTCCCTGCCTATATAGAGCACAGTTTTTCAAATTCCATAACTGCTGGCATAAAAGTGGTAAATTGTGCACGATTATGTTCTATTGCTATTACTAGTTCATAATTACATAGGTTATTACGCCTTAGTTACTCTAGTATAGGTATATGTCATGTTAGTAACACAATGATGCACTGGATGGTACTTGGGTAATCTGACAGACATTTATGTGAGGATTACACATATGCTTTAACGTCGGGGTGATTATACTGTAGGTAATGCTTTAACGTCAGGGTGATTATACTGTAGGTAATGCTTTAACGTCGGGGTGATTATACTGTAGGTAATGCTTTAACGTCGGGGTAAGTAGGTAATGCTTTAAACGTCAGGGTGATTTACTGTAGGTAATGCTTTAACGTCGGGGTGATTATACTGTAGGTAATGCTTTAACGTCAGGGTGATTATACTGTAGGTAATGCTTTAACGTCAGGGTGATTATACTGTAGGTAATGCTTTAACGTCAGGGTGATTATACTGTAGGTAATGCTTTAACGTCAGGGTGATTATACTGTAGGTAATGCTTTAACGTCAGGGTGATTATACTGTAGGTAATGCTTTAACATTGGGGTGATTATACTGTAGGTAATGCTTTAACGTTGGGGTGATTATAATGTAGGTAATGCTTTAACGTCAGGGTGATTATACTGTAGGTAATGCTTTAACGTCGGGGTGATTATACTGTAGGTAATGCTTTAACGTCAGGGTGATTATACTGTAGGTAATGCTTTAACGTAGGGGTGATTATACTGTAGGTAATGCTTTAACGTCAGGGTGATTATACTGTAGGTAATGCTTTAACGTCGGGGTGATTATACTGTAGGTAATGCTTTAACGTCGGGGTGATTATACTGTAGGTAATGCTTTAACGTCGGGGTGATTATACTGTAGGTAATGCTTTAACGTCGGGGTGATTATACTGTAGGTAATGCTTTAACGTCGGGGTGATTATACTGTAGGTAATGCTTTAACGTCGGGGTGATTATACTGTAGGTAATGCTTTAACGTCGGGGTGATTATACTGTAGGTAATGCTTTAACGTAGGGGTGATTATACTGTAGGTAATGCTTTAACGTTGGGGTGATTATACTGTAGGTAATGCTTTAACGTCAGGGTGATTATAATGTAGGTAATGCTTTAACGTTGGGGTGATTATAATGTAGGTAATTCCGTAATGCCTTCAGACTCACCATGCCTACTCTAGTCATGACAGTGTCCTTTAGACTCACCATGCCTACTCTAGTCATGACAGTGTCCTTTAGACTTACCATGCCTACTCTAGTCATGACAGTGTCCTTTAGACTTACCATGCCTACTCTAGTCATGACAGTGTCCTTTAGACTTACCGTGCCTACTCTAGTCATGACAGTGTCCTTTAGACTTACCGTGCCTACTCTAGTCATGACAGTGTCCTTTAGACTTACCATGCCTACTCTAGTCATGACAGTGTCCTTTAGACTTACCGTACCTACTCTAGTCATGACAGTGTCCTTTAGACTTACCGTACCTACTCTAGTCATGACAGTGTCCTTTAGACTTACCGTGCCTACTCTAGTCATGACAGTGTCCTTTAGACTTACCATGCCTACTCTAGTCATGACAGTGTCCTTTAGACTTACCGTACCTACTCTAGTCATGACAGTGTCCTTTAGACTTACCATGCCTACTCTAGTCATGACAGTGTCCTTTAGACTTACCATGCCTACTCTAGTCATGACAGTGTCCTTTAGACTTACCATGCCTACTCTAGTCATGACAGTGTCCTTTAGACTTACCATGCCTACTCTAGTCATGACAGTGTCCTTAGACTTACGTGCTACTAGTCATGACAGTGTCCTTTAGACTTACCATGCCTACTCTAGTCATGACAGTGTCCTTTAGACTTACCGTGCCTACTCTAGTCATGACAGTGTCCTTCTCCACTATGTACTCATGGCCAGTCTTAAACAACTCCAGCATCTTGGGAATGTCGACTCCAACCGACCCTGAAAACAGCCAGAGAGAAACATGGTTAGGTAGTGAGTACTCCTAACTTCTACCCGGTACAGCCAGAGAGAAACATGGTTAGGTAATGAGTACTCCTAACTTCTACCTGGTACAGCCAGAGAGAAACATGGTTAGGTAGTGAGTACTCCTAACTTCTACCTGGTACAGCCAGAGAGAACATGGTTAGGTAATGAGTACTAACTTCTACCTGGTACAGCCAGAGAGAAACATGGTTAGGTAATGAGTACTAACTTCTACCTGGTACAGCCAGAGAGAAACATGGTTAGGTAATGAGTACTCCTAACCAGGACTCTAAATTAACTTTTTCAGTTGGTGGCACCAGCACATGATTTGGTTGCACACATTTTTCTTGACCCGTGTCCCATAAAGTACCTGTATTCAATACAGAACCAGGCTAATAATGACTAGCTATCTTTTAAATTAGCCCCTGCAGGGCTTGACATTGAGGTGCATTCACCAGTGGCACACCGGGCCGGTGCAAACTGAAAGCTACTGGCCTGAATGAAAAGAATACTGGCCCGGGAAAGCAGATGATGCATTATTGAAATGTTATCTGTAATTTGCGGGCTGCGTATGTAGCCTATAACGACCTACCCACCATACACAAATAATTACATTTTAACTTGACAATATCATATTTACATTGATCGTTTGGAGGGAAAAAAATAAAACCTTCAAATCTGAAAAAGGGTGTTATTGTTAGCGCTTTAGCACAGTTACTCTACAGTTGCAGGGCCCTATAAAATCAGTTTGAGCTTTTGGCTAATTTAAATTTTCCAGGTTTTATTTTTCCAGGTTTCTGAGTTTTCAAGTTCACTCTCAAAATCACTTTTTAATAGAAAAACCGCACAAATTTGATGGTTTAAGTTCATAACATTAAAATCACGTCAGGACACCACTGGGAACAATTGTTTGGAGGGTATAGTTGCCCTTCAATTCAATTGCGCGAATAGCGAGCAGACCGTTGTGATCGGCTAGCAGTGTTTTTGTACTGTACAATGTGACGGCGGAGTTTGCAAAACAATGCCCCGTGATCGATACAAATGATCATGATATCATTCTACCAAGTAGGCCTACTTTGCTAGTCAATATTTAATTGGGAAGGTTTTTGGGGAAAGCCTTTAGAATTGTTCCTTTAAACAGCGCAATGGGGCCTCCTGTCAGAGTCTGGTTCCTCTCAAGGTTTTGATCCTAGGGTTTTTTCTTTGCAGCAGCTTTGGGGGTCTAAGGCCGGATTACTGTAAAGCACTTTGTGACAAATGTAAAAAGGACGATGTAAATTTGATGGATTGATGTTGCCCACCTCTCTTGTTCTTGGGGAACTTCTTGCGTAGTTTGTTCTTCAGAGGCAGTAGTTTGGATATGATGTCTGGTACCGCTATGTAGAAGTCTGCATCCACTTCATCATCTAAGATCTACATTATAGAGAACATTCCAGAGAAAACAGGAAACATTAACAAAAAGTGTGTGTGTGGTTTGTGTGTGGAGGGGGGTGGTGGAGAGAGAGACCGCGAGAGAGAGAGAGAGAGAGCGAGAGCGAGAGACAGAGAAAGAGCGACAGAGATAGAGAGCGAGCGAGAGCGAGCGAGAGCGAGAGAGAAATAAACTTATGACACTCACTCTCTGCACAAGGTCGGCTCCTCCCACAAATGCTGCTCCGTTCTCCTTGGCTACTTTGGCTTGATCAGGATTCTGACAAGAACAGACATTTACACTACCGGTAAAAAGTTTTAGAACACCTACTCATTCAAGGGTTTTTCTTAATTTTTACTATTTTCTACATTGTAGAATAATAGTGAAGACATCAAAACTATGAAATAACACATATGGAATCATGTAGTAACCAAAGAATTGTTAAACAAATCAAAATATATGTTATATTTGAGATTCTTCATATAGCCACCCTTTGCCTTGACAACTTTGCACACTCTTGGAATTCTCTCAACCAGCTTCACCTGGAATACCTTTTCAACAGTCTTGAAGGAGTTCCCACACATGCTTAGCACTTGTTGGCTGCTTTTCCTTCACTCTGCGGTCCAACTCATCCCAAACCATCTCAATTTGGTTGAGGTTGGGGGATTGTGGAGGCCAGATCATCTGAAGCAGCACTCCATCACTCTCCTTCTTGGTCAAATAGCCCTTACACAGCCCGGTGTCATTGTCCTGTTGAAAAACAAATGATAGTCCCACTAAGCGCAAACCAGATGGGATGGCGTATCACTGCAGAATGCTGTGGATTCTAAATAAATCACAGACAGTATCACCAGCAAAGCACCCCCACACCATCACACCTCCTCCTCCATGCTTTTCAGTGGGAAATACACATGCGGAGATCATCCGTTCACCTACTCTGCGTCTCACAAAGACACGGCGGTTGGAACCAAAAATCAAAAATTTGGACCAAAGGACAGATTTCCACCGGTCTGATGTCCATTGCTTGTGTTTCTTGTCCCAAGCAAGTCTCTTCTTCTTATTGGTGTCCTTTAGTAGTGGTTTCTTTGCAGCAATTCGACCATGAAGGCCTGATTCACGCAGTCTCCTCTAAACAGTTGATGTTGAGATGTGTCTGTTACTTGAACTCTGTGAAGCATTTGGGCTGCAATCTGAGGTGCAGTTAACTTATCCTTTGCAGCAGAGGTAACTCTGGGTCTTCCTTTCCTGTGGCGGTCTTCATGACAGCCAGTTTCATCATAGCGCTTGATGGTTTTTGCGACTGCACTTAAGAAACGTTCAAAGTTCTTGACCTTCATGTCTTAAAGTAATGATGGACTGTCGTTTCTCTTTGCTTATTTGAGCTGTTCTTGCCATAATATGGACTTGATCTTTTACAAAATAGGGCTATCTTCTGTATACTCCCCCTACCTTGTCACAACACAACTGATTGACAAACACATTAAGAAGGAAATTCCACAACTTAACAAGGCACACCTGTTAATTAAAATGCATTCCAGGTGACTACCTCATGAAGCTGGTTGAGAGAATGCCAAGAGTGTGCAAAGCTGTCATCAAGGCAAAGGGTGGCTACTTTGAAGAACCTCAAATATATTTTGATTTGTTTAACACTTTTGTTGGTTACTACATGATTCCATGTGTGTTATTTCATAGTTTTGATGTCTTCACTATTATTCTACAATGTAAATAGTAAAGATAAAAGAAAAACCCTTGAATGAGTAGGTGTGTCCAAACTTTCGACTGGTACTGTACATCACTGCCAGTTGTAGTTGACATACAGATTATATATTTCCATGTATACATCAATGCCAGTTCAACAAGGGATTTCAATAGAATGACTGATTAACATGTCCATCAAGGAAGACATAACATAAATCAAATGAATAAATTAGCTATTGATGTTGGAAACAGCACAGGGGATACAATGGAGATGGAAAAAGACAAGGAATAAAGGTTACTGTTAAGTAAGATAACCTACCTCTGTAAAAACAGCAACTTTGTTGACTTCTGTCTTGAACAAGTATGGTAAATGAACTGTACTGACAAAGGGATCCACTTTTTTCTGGAAGAGAAGATTCAAAACACGCATGTAAATACATACGTGCTGCCTGCGACATCAAAGCCTACATAACAAACCAATATGTGCCTAGCAAATGGAAAAGGAATCTGGATTTTACCCAACAACATTTACCATCCTATGTCACCATGACAACACAATGTGTGCATCCCAAATCCCCATAGCGCACAACTTATCACCCTTTGGGCCCTGGTCAAAAGCAATGCATTATAGGGAATAGGGTGCCATTCGATTGTTTCCTCCCTGTTCATTTTTTTATTTTACCAAGAAGACTGCACTCAATTCATTATGCATTTCAACATCAGCTTTGCATAGTTAAATGGGCCATCTGCGATTGCTACATACATTTTTGGAATTTTAAATTCATGATTCATTATTTTAGTGACCTTGATTGTATTTCAGCTATCCCTGAACGTGAGATAGCTTTGAGCCTCTTTGTAGATGTCTTCCATACTATTGTGGATAATCATGCTCCCTTCAAAACATTATGGGTTAAAGGTAGATCGAATGCCTGGTACACTCCGGAATTATCCAAAGTCATTCATAAAAGAGATAATGCTTGGGTCAAGGCCAGGAACACAGGTTTAGGCCCGGACTGGCAAGCTTTTAAGCAACTGAGGAATCATTGTTTAAGACAAATCAGAAAGGCCAAATCTGATTATAATGTAACCGCTCTTTCAGATTGTAATGGGAACCCAGCTAAATACTGGAAAACTGTCAAATCCCTGAAGGGTTCTACTTCCTCCTCTCTGCCACAACAAATTAATTCAGACTGGCCTCATTATTATTTTTTTATGCCATCATTGATGCATTTAATCACCATTTTATTTCAGCAGGCTAGCTCTTTGAAGTAACTTCTAAGCCTATTCACAATGATATTGGGCTGGATGCTGATAGGAGAAACTTGCTGAATGATCAGAGAAATGACAGTCAAAGCTTTTCTTTTAGTCTATTTACAGAAAAATAAGTCCTGGATGCTTTGATAGCAATAGACAAATAAATCCACAGGGGCTGATAAATTGGATCCCGGTCTGCTTAAGTGTGCAGCACCCATCTTTTTTTTTCCCCAGGAAGGTAGTACTGAATAAGCACTAAGCCATCCCCTAGCTTACTTTTGGCTTGTCCGTACCTTTTTCTCCAGCTTCATGTCCAGTTTCAGATTGATATAAACAGGCTGGTCCAGAGGAGTATAGTCCAGCATCTGGAAGCTCTTTAGCAGATCCACGGCCACTGCGGTCTCGTGTACAGGCTTGGGGTAGAAGCGGGTTACGTACACATCATCCACCGGCGCCCAAGCGGTCAGCCCATACGGTTTGTGACGACCTGTGTTGTCAACGACCGGTATCTTATTTCTCTCTTTGTCATCTCGTTTTTCCTTTTTAAAGGCCCTGTGGAAAGGTTTCATTTATTTATGTTAAAAGAGGTTGGTGTTTATGGAGCGGAGTAGGCCTAACACCTTAGAGAAATGCTTGCAAGCTAGGCTAATAGGTATGCATGTAAATTATAATACAGCAAAAAAAACTAAAATGTTATGTTCAATCAGTCTATGACGTGAAAGGAGAATTTGGGAAGCATTCGATGAGGGTGAGCGAGTGTGTGATGACTTACTTCGCGGCAGCATAGGTCCTAACAGGGAGATGTCTGGGTGCAGTCTGAGAGACACTTGTATATGTTGGACCACCAACCATCAGGACATGTCTTTGGCATCCTGCTAAAACTAAGAGAATTGAAACATAGCGAGTTAGTAATTATCACTGCAGGACTTTACAGATAGTTGATTGCTTGAAGTATAGGTGCAATTTCACCACACAATCTGTAAAGCTTTAGCAAGTTAGATAAACATGAAATCAATCCAAAAGGCCTGCATAGTAGGTGAAGAAAACACGTACAGGAATCTGATTCAAAATAAGTCGTAGATGCAAGCCCAATTCTTTTGACCAATCACATCAGATCTTTTCACATCAGATCTTATTCAGAGCTGATCTGATTGGTCAAAAGACCAATTAGTGGGGGGAAAAAAAAACTGATTTGGGCTGCTTGTAAATGCAGCCAGAGCGATAGTGATGTTACGTTTGATACCAGAGCGCCGAGGCAAGCGTCGAAATCGCTAAGGAGTTTACGACGAAGCAGTGTGCCGATGTCTGTATCACTTTATCATCAGAAGCACGTGATCAATGACGTCCGAAGCTTTGTTTCGTTGAACCGCCGTCTGATTGGTTTGGTGTTGGTTTCGGTAGAAAATCATTTGGCTGCTCTAAATTATTTTGTCCAGCAGTTACCACTAGTTACCACTGTTGATCAAAGCCTCGAGTGATGAACCTAAAGTACCAGTCAAGTTTGGACACACCTACTCATTCAAGGGTTTTTCTTCATTTTTACTATTTTCTACATTGTAGAATAATAGTGAAGATATCAAAACTATGAAATAACACACATGGAATCATGTAGTAACCAAAAAAAGTGTTTAACAAATCAAACTATATTTTATATTTGAGATTCTTCAAAGTAGCCACCCTTTGCATTGATGACAGCTTTGCACACTCTTGGCATTCTCTCAAACAGCTTCATGAGGTAGTCACCTGGAATGCATTTCAATTAACAGGTATGCCTTGTTAAAAGTTAATTTGTGGAATTTCTTTCCTTCTTAATGCGTTTGAGCCAATCAGTTGTGTTGTGACAAGGTAGGGGTGGTATACAGAATATAGCCCTATTTGGTAAAAGACCAAGTCCATATTATGGCAAGAACAGCTCAAATAAGCAAAGAAATAACGACAGTCCATCATTACTTTAAGACATGAAGGTCAGTCAAACCGGAACATTTCAAGAACTTTGAAAGTTTCTTCAAGTGCAGACGCAGAAACCATCAAGCGCTATGATGAAACTGGCTCTCATGAGGACCGCCACAGGAATGGAAGACCCAGAGTTACCTCTGCTGCAGAGGATAAGTTCATTAGAGTTACCAGCCTCAAAAATTGCAGCCCAATAAATGCTTCAGAGTTCAAGTCACATCTCAACATCGACTGTTCAGAGGAGACTGCGTGTATCAGGCCTTCATGGTCGAATTGCTGCAAAGAAACCAATACTAAAGGACACCAATAAGAAGAAGAGACTTGCTTGGGCCAAGAAACACGAGCAATGGACATCAGACCGGTGGAAATATGTCCTTTGGTCTGATGAATCCAAATTTGAGATTTTTGGTTACAACAGCTGTGTCTTTGTGCGATGCAGAGTAGGTGAACAAATTATCTCTGCATGTGTGGTTCCCACCGTGAAGCATGGAGGAGGAGGTGTGATGGTGTGGGGGTTCTTTGCTGGTGACACTGTCTGTGATTTACTTAGCATTCAAGGCACACTTAACCAGCATGGTTACCACAGCATTCTGCAGCGATACGCCATCCCATCTGGGTTGCGCTTAGTGGGACTCTCATTTGTTTTTCAACAGGACAATGACCCAACACACCTCCAGGCTGTGTAAGGGCTATTTGACCAAGAAGGAGAGTGATGGAGTGCTGCATCAGATGACCTGGCCTCCACAATCACCCGACCTCAACCCAATTGAGATGGTTTGGGATGAGTTTGACCGCTGAGTGGAGGAAAAGCAGCCAACAAGTGCTCAGCATATGTGGGAACTCCTTCAAGACTGTTGGAAAAGCATTCCAGGTGAAGCTGGTTGAGAGAATGTCAAGAGTGTGCAAAGCTGTCATCAAGGCAAATGGTGGCTATTTAAAGAATCTCAAATCTCAAATATATTTAGATTTGTTTAACTTTTTTGGTTACTACATGATTCCATATGTGTTATTTCATAGTCTTGATGTCTTCACTATTATTCTACAATGTAGAAAATAGTAAAAAATAAAGAAAAACCCTTGAATGAGTAGGTGTGTTCAAACTTTTGACTGGTACTGTCTCTAGTGCACTACTAATTGTCTGGAAAGCCTCAATGCTTCAGGAAACTGTTTCCCCATCACTAGCGAGGGATAACTGGGCCCAAAATGTCAATGAGTGTCGAATTTTGTTAATAATTGAGAAAAAAATACTTTATAAACGGAGTTGTGCCTGTTGTTCACATGTGTACCTGCCCTCTCATTGGCTAGAATGGTCCCACCTGATCTTGCCTCCTCCTGACCGCCTTCAGTTCTTTTAAGGCATTTATTTTCATTGTTAGAGCGGCCACTAGAGTATCTGGTCAATATAATGGATAGTCTGATGCAGCCCAATGGTCAGATAAGCTGCGTTTACACAGGCAGACCAATTCTGATGTTTTTTTTTTTACACTAATTGGTCTTTGACCAATTACACGTCAGGCAGAAATTAGCATTTGAATCAGGAAAGTTGAACGCACTACCAGCGCTGTGAAAAGTTGATGTAATTATTACTTTCCCGTGGGTATATTGTCTCACATTCCTACCTCCAAAAAGACCAACCGCACGGACAACCGGGAAAGTATGTTCAAATATAATTGTATTCAACATTCTGGCTTGTAGAGGTCATGAGAGGAAACTTTCCTGATTCAACACGCTCACTTCTGCCCGACTTAGTATTCAATGCAATTCAACAAAATCGGGTTTACAGGCAAGTTAGAGAAACAATCTCAGCTAATCAGCAAACTAGCGGGTGTCCACCCTTGTTCCCTCACCTTTATGTTCCCTGGGCACTATGTACCCAATTGAACTAATTCCAACCAAAATTGGCATAAATGCTTATTTGTATTGTCAAATCAAATTTTATTGGTCACATACACATTTTTAGCAGATGTTATTGCGGGTGTAGCCAAATGCTTGTATTCCTAGCTCCAACAGTGCAGTAGTATCTAACTATTTCTAACAACTCACAACAATACACACAAATCCAAAAGTAAAAGAATGGAATTAATAAATATATAAATATTAGGAAGAGCAATGTCAGAGTTGCATTGCCTAAAATACAGTAGAATAGAATACAGTATATACACATATGAAATGAGTAAAGCAGTATATAAACATTATTAAAGTGAGCAGCCTCTAAGGTGCAGGGTTGAGTAACCGGGTGGAAGCCGGCTAGTGATGGCTATTTAACAGTCTGATGGCCTTGAGATAGAAGCTGTTTTTCAGTCTCTCAGTCCCAGCTTTGATGCACCTGTACTGACCTCGCCTTCTGGATGATAGCGGGGTGAACAGGACGTGGTTTCGGTGGTTGATGTCCTTGATGATCTTTTTGGCCTTCCTGTGACATCGGGTGCTGTAGGTGTCCTGGAGGGCAGGCAGTGTGCTCCCGGTGATGCGTTGGGCAGACCGCACCACCCTCTGGAGAGCCCTGAGGTTGCGGGCGGTGCAGTTGCCGTACCAGGCGGTGGTACAGCATCTGTAAAAGTTTGTGAGGGTCTTAGGGGCCAAGCTGTGGCGCCTTCTTCACCACACTGTCTCATTTCAGATTGCCAGTGATGTGTATGCAGAGGAACTTGAAGCTTTTGACCTTCTCCACTGTGGTCCCGTTGATGTGGATAGGGGTGTGCTCCCTCTGCTGTTTCCTGAAGTCAACGATCAGCTCCTTCGTTTTGTTGACGTTGAGGGAGAGGTTATTTTTCTAGCACCACTCCGCCAGGGCCCTCACCTCCAGCCCTGTAGGCTGTCTCGTCATTGTTGGTAATCAGGTCTACTATTGTTGGGTCGTCTGAAAGCTTGATGATTGAGTTGGAGGCGTGCGTGGCCACGCAGTCATGGGTGAACAGGGAGTAGAGGAGGGGGCTGAGCACGCACCCTTGTGGGGCCCCAGTGTTGCGGATCAATGAAGTGGAGGTCTTGTTTCCTACCTTCACCACCTGGGGGCGGCCCGTCAGGAAGTCCAGGACCCAGTTGCACAAGGCGGGGTTTAGACCCAGGGCCCCGAACTTAATGATGAGCTTGGAGGGTACTATGGTGTTGAAGGCTGAGCTAGTCAATGAACAGCATTCTTACATAGGTATTCCTCTTTTCCAGATGGGATAGGGCAGTGTGCAATGCGATGGCGATTGCATCGTCTGTGGATCTATTGGGGCGGTATGCAATTTGAAGTGGGTCTAGGGTGTCAGGTAAGGTAGAGGTGATATGATCCTTAACTAGCCTCTCAAAGCACTTCATGATGACAGAAGTGAGTGCTACACGGCGATAGTCATTTAGGTCATTCTCAATTTTTTTGGAGAGAACAGCGCCGGGAAGATGGCTGCCGTTTTACAGCCCTCTAACCAATTGTACTATTATGTGTGTTTTTCCGCGTTATTTGTAATTTATTTTGTACATAATGTTTCTGCCATCGTCTCTTATAACCAAAAAGAGCTTCTGGATATCAGGACAGCGATTACTCACCTCGCATTGGACTAAGATTTTTTCTTCAACGAGGCGGTCGCGAAGGATATCCTACAGACACCCGACAAGGCCCAGATCCCCGTCA